AAAAAATATCTCTCACAACTTATGAGTAATCTCTTTTTCTAATATAGCAAACATAACATGCGTCCTTAATAATCTTAATTAAATGTTGTATCTCACTTATAGGACCTCTTATCTCTTTATGTAACATACTCTTATGCTTATATATTTGCGTGATCCGAGTGACATTCTCCAGATCTCGCTCTTACAAGGAAAATAATATGTGTATAGGTGGAACATATCTCTTTTTCAAATCAAACATGATGCTTCTCACATGTGGTCAACCTACAAACAATGGAATGACATTCTAATCTATCAAGTAAACGATGGTTATGAATTCCACATTTTACATTAAACTTCCATTCAGACCCATTTTTGCCATAGTCGACCTGATTTTAAATGAACATCCATATTTCTTAGTCATACATTATGCTCCACTATTTGAATCCTTGTATTTCCCACCTTTATCACAACAAAATATTACTTTGTTGTTTCTCTCTCTTTTGCCTGTTTCGGTATCTGAAACAATGACAATAACTGCTACTTTATTTCTGATTCCAACCTCTTTAATCCACCTTATTACCTATTCTCATGTATCAAATCTTTGAGTAGTTGAGAATGTATCAGAAGTACCTACACATATTTGATTTTTATCCCATATTTATGGATGAATTTTCATACCTGTAATATAAAAAAAGAATTTTAGCAAAAATAAATTTAAAATTTAAAATTGGACATCTTGATACAAGTATTCTGGTACATAAAAATTACGCACCAAATATCTTGTCTAAAAGTGTTCCGGTACACACAAACATACAAAACAAAACACATTTGGCAAATGTTCCAATACAATAAATTTTTTTAAGACAACACCGAAACTCTTTTAACAAGTTTTTTGAAACTTACTTAAGTACAAACCACATATATCTTTTTAGGGCCGTTTACAGACATTTTTGGGCCTTAGGCGAAAATGTTTAAGGGACCTTTTTTGTAAGAATTTTAAAGGGACTTGATATATTATATAAAATATCAATTTTTATATTAATCCTCTAGCTTTTTTAGAATCAAAATCATTTATCAAAGTTTTATAATCAAGAAATTCTAATACTTCACTTTCAATAGATAAAATAGCTAACCCATTCAATTTATCTTGTAACATTGTTGATCTTAGATATGATTTAAGCAATTTTAATTTTGAAAAACTTCTTTCAGGAGCAACAACTGTTACAAGGATTGTCAATAAAATTCTATATGCAATGCAAACATTTGAAAAAGAATCTAAAGTTTTAATATAACTCAATACGTCTATTGGTGTGCTAACATTTCTTAGTACTTTCAATTCTGAAAATGAATCAAGACCGTCAATATCATAATATTCATTAAACCTTAAATTTTTTTTTCAAATTATTACAATATTTTTCAATTCATCCTCATCTAAAGCTTTATTTTTTTGCAATCAAATAAAAATCCAAAAATAGTCTCATATTGTAAAAATTATTCAAATCTTGTCTCAATAGAATTAATTGATTGATCTAATATGTATAAAAAATACTTAATACAAAATAGATTCTTCAGGTGAATATGTGATCTCATTACTAGTATTTTCATCAAAATGAGGTTTTCTATGATTTTTAAGTTTTCACGAAATTTTTGCTCTATATCCATTTTGATGGCCATATTTTTATGTGGATTCTAAAGCCAATGCAAACCCGTTTTTCCTATAGTGTTTTAAATAAGTGATAAGACCTTTTAAATGATCTATATCTATATGCATATCTTTTTATTATAAAATCTTGCCAACAAAATTGACGACAAACAAAATATCATACTAAATATTCATTTCTAATAAAAATTCAAAATTTCCAAGCTCATGAATTGCTAAAAACATGACTTCACTTTTTAATTTATGATCTTCACAATTTTTTTATAATTCAATTAAAGCATCTCTTGCCTTTTGAGTTTGAAACTTAATGACTTTGATACTATCTATTCTACTTTCCCAACAAGTTAGAGATAATGATTTAGCAGAAAACTTAGATACACTATCTTACAATTTTTTTTCAAATAGAAGAAGCAAACAAAGAATAAATATGTTGTAGAACTCCAAAAAAAAAAAATGCTCTGGAGCAGGAACTAGCTAGATCACATAATACTAAGTTGAAGTTATCACACCAACACGATGTATAAAATATTCTAGGATTTATGTCTAATAATTTTTTTTGCATAAAAGACATTTTCCTGATGTGTCATAACTTTTAAAAATTTTAAAAAATATTCTCAATTTTAATTGGAAATTTAGAAGTATGAACGCATCTCAAAATAAGAGTAATTTGTTCTTGATGATTTACTTCAGGAGTACAATCAAGAATAACAAAAAAAATATATTTTGCATCTTTAACTTTCTCTATGATTGACTTTTTAACTTGGAAGACTATCATTTCTATAAGATCGTTTTGTATGGTATTACTCAAAAAATGATTACGAGTTTCATTATTTTTTATGCGCCTAACATCTCAATCAAACTCATATTTGATTATAACTATAATCCTAAGTAGAACTTTTTTACAATGTTCCTTTTCTTTGTTAATTTGTTCTTGTAAATGCTTATCAATTGTTTGTTTTGTTCTCAATCTCTTTTCTAGTTCAATCCACTTTGTCATATTAATTATATGTTCACGATCTGTTTCATGACTCAAGCTTGAATCCAAGATTCTTCCAATCTTTAGTCCCTTCATTTGCTAGTTGACTAACATTTGTTGAACTAAATAACTTACAGCAAAAACAATACACTTTGTCTAAATATTTATAATAAACTAGTCATCTTCTATCATATTTTTCTCCATTTGATCGTGTTCGTTGATAACATGTTGAATACAAATATCTTTTATTTTCATTTTTGTATATTGAAAATTGTCATGTCTGATAGGACTCTTTTCTATCATTAAATCTCTAAATTTTCCATCAATATCATTTCATAGTCCTAGGTCATATGCTCAACATTTCATTCTACTCCTATTTCTAAAGTATTATCTTCTAGTTTTTGATCAAAATTATGATTATTTGTGTTGTCAGTATTATTTATATGTGGTTGTTCTATCACGTTTTCACCATCGTCAGTATCATCTCTAGTTGGTTGTTCTACACCGTTGTCAGTATTATCTAACGGTGGTTGTTCTATAACATTTTCACCTATTAAACTTGCTTCTACATCCTTTTATGAACAATAACAAATTTATTAAGTCCACCATGTCGAGATTCAATTAGTTTTTCAAGCTTTCATTTTTTCTTCAATTTTTCATAAATAAATAATCAAAATAAAAAAATTAACTCAATATTAAAGAAATCAAAATAAAAAAATTAACTCAATATTAAAGAAATCAAAATAAATTAAACTCTAAAATAAATATAGAAAAGGATAATAAATGAACAAAACGATACAACCCATATGTACGTGGTTTATAAGCGTTCAGAATCCAGACGATGTCAAATTCAAAGAGGTTGAGCCGCAAAGACAATATTTGATAGATAGATAATATGTTTCAAGGGAAGGAGAAACATATTTTTTTATGAGCAGATGAAAAAAAGGTGAAGAATGGTGATCTGACCTGATCAGAAGGGGATCACTGACTGCCACGCGTTACTGCCTGCTCACCGGTGTTGAAAAAATAGAGGGGGTGTACCTGCAAGACACTCTGATGCCAAAGTAAGGAATTGGGCAGAGTGATCACAAGTACAGAAAGAGGGTAAAAAGAGATTACCTGACCCTTTTGTGAAAGAGGGTATTTATAGAGAGACCCTAGCGCAGGGCCAACGGTCATTTGAGTTGGGCTGGATGGCCAGGCCCAACCCAAGTGACTGCTGGGGCTTACGTGGCGTAGTGAAGACCAGGACGTGGTCTTTGCCCTAGTCCAACTGTCCCGTGATTTCTAGAAAGTGGGTTTGACTTGCTCTTTCGGAGGTGGGCAGTTGGTTGGTGAAGTGTCCCCGTGGAGGGGAGCACGTGTAGAACGTGTGAAGGACACGTTGTTCTGCCCGCGGAGGGAGAAGGTTCTGCCTGCGGAGGGTAGGTTCTGCCCGACGGGGGCATTGTCTGGTCGATGATAGTCTTGCGCCCGACAAGAGAGGAGGTTCAGCCCGCGGAGGGATAATGTCCTGCCCGCGGATGGGCATTGTCTACCCGGCGGGGATTCTGCGCTCAAAGGCTGTGGCCCAAGCTGGATTGGGCCTGACAGAACATCATTGGATTGGGCCTACTCGGTCGAGCCGGGGCCCAGGCCATAACAAATGGAATCTGGAGTGTGAGAGACATTAGTTAGGGAATTGGAATGGTTTAACAGGAATTTACTTTATTTGGAATAAATAAAATACTTTAAGTGACATTAATTTTGATATTGATTAATTTAAAAAAAAAATGATATTGATTGACTAATTTTTAGGCAAGAGGGAGATTCTAAATTATTTTATTTTAATCAGTTAAAATTTGTTAATATTTAATATTAATAAATATTTTATTTGAAGTTAAAAATATATTCTTTTAGACCATAGACTAATGTCTAATTTTCCTTACATCTTGGACGGACTGTATCTTTTGTAAAGTTAATTGGTTCAGAAAAAGTACATAATATAAATTATTTTCAAATTTTTTTGAAACAGATACGTAGGGGTGTAATTTTTTAAATTAGTAAAAAGTAAAATGGTATACTAACTAAAAACATCCAATGGTAAAATTGACATTTTAATAAATTGTAGGGGTATGGAGATAACATATGAGGTAAAATTCTCTTTCTTTTACTTGAATTTACCGAAGCCCAATGACTGTTTATCGTGCTGTTTAGATCCTAAGGCCTTTTTAATTTGGGCTTTTTTCCAACACTTGCTTCAATCTTAAAAAAAAAGAAGCGTAACTCTGAAAAAGAACAAAAAAAACAAACCCGTTCCATGTTGCTTAAACCCTAATTCGACGCTCTCTACTGATTCAATTTCGAAGAAGAAAACTTGAAAGGGAGATACTCATAATCGCATCAATGTCAGACAACGATTCTGACGCCCCTGAGGAATTCACAGCCGAACAGGTTTCTTTCCTTTATTTTCAATTTTTTGTTTCAATGAATCAACTCAAATTTACACTTTTTCATTTGTTTTGGATTAGTATGAATACCTAATCTATGAATGCGTATTTGCAGGGTATTCAACTAGACGAAGAGATTCGAAAGATTAAAAGAGAAAACACTATTAGGTATTCCTGAAGAATTCACGTGTTTGCTTAGTTATGAAGTTCTGTTAGTTATGAAGTTCTGTGTATTAATTTAAGCTATTGGAAGTTAAATTGAAAAAGAAAATTAGAATAAAGTTTTCAGCATCTTCGTATTGTGTTTTGTTGCCATATGAGTAACTAGGGTTGTGTTAAAATTCATCAATATTAATTCCAAGTTTGTAAATAGCATTAGTGTTGCTTTTAGTATATGATGAGGAGTATCGCAGTCAAATGCTGCCGATGCAATGACATCATGAATTATGCATCGGGTGAAAGCGACACGAGAATAAAGTAAGTGTAGCATAAATGAGAATGTTGTGGTGGATTTGTGGTAAGACTTGACAAGATAAAATTAGAAATGAAAATATTAGAGAGTGTCGGGATAGTGCCTATAGTCTAGAAGATGGTGGAAAATAGACTTGGGTGGTTTGGACACATAGAGAGAAGATCGGTAGATTCTGTAGTAAGGAGGGTAGTTTAGATGGAGAGAAGGCAAAAAATTAGAGGAAGGGGAAGACCTAGAAAGACTATCAGAGACGTTATTAAGAAAGATTCTGAAATTATGACGAAAGTTGATCCATCTAACCGACCCCACTTAATGGAATAAAGCTTAGTTGTTATTTGTTTGGTGAATGCATCTGATTGCTTGCATCTGGTTGAAACATTTTTCATGAGCATTTGTTTCATGCATCTGCTTGATTGCTTAGACGTCAACAATCTTGATTTTGCTGCCCAGATCAAGCTCGAAGATATTTTCAAACACTGATAGATTGTGGGATAATCTCGGGCTTGAGCTGGGAAAGAGGACGCTAACTGAATGTATTCTAATTCCATGTTTTGTAGAGATTCCGTGATTATTAATTAATTTATCACTTAGTGGTTTTAAGAATTGTGGAATTTTTTTTTGGGTAAATAGCTCTGTATCATCACGAGATGAGAGATATTTTTCATGTTAGGATTATGAATAGTTTCATTAATTATGGACCAATAACATGGGTGGACAAGCATTTTGTTTTTGGTCTATTGCAATTATCAACAGTTTGTTCATTCACTCTCATATCGAACTGATCTCATATCGAACTGATATGGGTGGACCAATATCAGTTCTTTCATTGCACAGTCATCAGGATTCATTTTGGACATTACGAACAACAATATTTATGTCTTATATGACTTTGGGTGGCAGGGTTAATACTGAAGAGAAAGAACGTCGAAGGAAATGGGCTCAAAAGATAACACCTCGACCATCCAAAGCTGCTAAAAAATCTCAAGATGTATCAATAACTGAATCCCAGGAAGAACCAAACAATGCTGCAGAATTTCTTCCCGAAAGCATTGGCCAACGAAACAAAGCTGTAGGATTTCTTCCCAAAAACATTGTTGAAATGCTTGCAGCCCGCGAGAAGTAATGAGTGGCCTCTCTTTATCTCTTATCTAATTATCCATGATTCTTTCGACAAATCTCTAAGGCTATAATCTGTTTGCAGAAATGTTCCCTTAACTGAAACTAATGAGGAGAATGATGAAACAAAGCCTACCACTTCAAAGAAGAGAAAATCCAAGGATTCTGGGTTAGGGCTTTCATCCTCTATTTCTATAATTTTGCTTTCAAATCTTGTTTTGTATCCTATATTTTATATATTTCCTTTGTAATTTGCAGTTTTGAACCTCGTATTTTGAGCGAATTAGGTCCTCCTCCGTGCTTACAGAGTGCCTTAGATTTCTTGAAAGAAAGAAAAATGGCAGTTCCAAGATCGTCTGCTGTTTTGAAGAACTCCAACAAGAACTCCAACCAAGCTTCGCGTCTTCTTTCTAGTTCTGGGATCATACGCCAGAAATGAGGATTTTTATTTCCTTATTAATTGATAGATTATTCTGGCCAAGGTGAGGTGTTAATGTTGCAATATTTATTTTTAACCTTTCAGCTTTGCTGCCTCTGTCGGTCTACTGGACTGAAAGTTGTAACTTTAAGATGTCATCAATGTTAGTTGAAGTTAATTATGCTCTTGTGTTTTTGCCATATAAAACCCCTTACAAACCCTTGATTATTATGTTTGTGTACAACAAGCAGATTAAACTTTGACAATTTAGTAATATTGTTATCATTAAGTTTTTTTATTGGTTTTCTTAATCATTCTGAAAATACCGTAAACAACAAATAATTTGAAAGGAAAGGAATACTTATGAGCAGTGATAGTTGATACATTATGCGATTTTTAGTATTGCCATATTGAATATGTAAATAGAAAAATAACATTAGAAGCCATTCAGCCATAAATCAATAGGCATATTGCTCATATCTTGGCGCAGTGCTGGTTGCTTGCTGATATTTAAGGTGAAAAAAAGACATCATCTTGTTGTAGCCACTTCTGTTCTTTGGTTGAAGATGAGCAGACCCGGAGACCTTCAAAAGCACTTTTGATTCTGTTTATGGACTTGTGATGACGAAGGCGTCGTAGGACTACTTCTTTGTCCAGGGTTTGAGATGAGGATTTGGACGATTTCAAATGGAGCTCGCATGAGACAGCATTACCTGTTGTAGATTTCTTGTCTTCGTGGTGATCAAGGCTAACCTTCTCAGTCCCTGATTCAGCTCTGGAAATCATGAAAGCCATTATTTATTTTCTGTTTTCGTTTGAGCTGTGGAATGTTACTAAGCTTGGGAGTGCTGAAAATTGAAAATGGCATTGGCTAGTGGGAGTTTTCAAATATATAAGGATATGACAAACCTTTTATAGTTCAATAATTTAGTGAAAAATATTAGGCCAGTTGTTTTTCTTTTATAGGATATACAAGAAGCCTGTTGTTTTTCTTAAACAAAGGCTAGAAACACTAGTAACGTGAAACAGACAAAAAGTACTTAAGCGTGGCAACTGCAAAAAGGACCAATAAGATTTATGGCATTACCATGAAAACCACCAAACAGATTCCGCTGGCTGTCTAGTGGGATGTCAGATTTTGCTGTTGCTAAATAAAATTTATGATTTATTTTTTTGAAATTTATTTGTCTTTTTTCATAAAACTCATTTTAGATTGTTTAATGTATTCATTATTTCATTATAAAAAAACTCAACTTTGTTTTACACATGCTACTAAACATGATTTTTTTTTGTATCTTGTGAAGAGCTGTTTAAAAATATAATAAATTTATTGTTTTAAACTAACTTAACTACTTAATGTTCCAAATTAAAAAATGTTTCTAATATTAAGGGATAGATAAAATTGTGCAAATTATAGGGGATTAAATTTATAAAGTATATCATGAAGTTATGAGAAATAATGATTGAATGGAGACTAAAAAAATAGACTAAAATTATTGAGAATCAATTTGGATTTATGTTTGAAAAGTTGATCATGGAAGCCATTTTATGGAAAACTCTAAAAAAGAAAAGGATTAGGATTGCATATATTCGAGCTATTTAAGATAGGTATGTAGGAATGTCGACTAGTGTACATACACATGGTGGAAAAACAGGTGATTTCCCCGTTACAATAGGTTTGCATCAAGGTTTAATCCCAAACTTTTATATTTTTACTTTAATTTTGAATGTATAGAATGCATCCAAGAGTTAACACCTAGATGCACGTTTTTTTCTAGATGATATAGTCTTACTTAGAGAGTCAGAAAAAGATTTAAATGAAAGGTTGAAGACTTGGAAGTGGGTTTTAGAAACACACGGTTTCCACATAAGCAGAAGTAAGACGAATTGACGAAGTATATGAAATGTGCGTACACCAAAAGAATAAGCGTTTCTAATTGTGAGGTGAAAGTTGGAGACCATTTCATCCCTCAAGTCACATGGTTTAAATATCTTGGGTAAGTAATACAAAATGATGGAGAAATATAAGGGGATATAAACCATCAAATTCAAGTTAAGTAGGTGAGATGGATGAGGGCTTTTAGATTTTATGTGACACAAAGGTATGGTTTAAGATGAATGCAATTTTTTATCAGACTGCGGTATGACTTGCAATGTTGCATGAGACAAAATGTTGGGTGATTAAGAATCAATACGAAAATGAAATAAGTGTAGAAGAGATGAAGACGTTGCGTTGGATGTGTGATAAAAATAAACAAGATATGATTAGAAATGAAAATATTAGAGAGACGGTTGGGATAACACATAATAGAGAATACGGTGAAAAATATATTTAGGTGATTTGAACATATAGATTTGTGGATTATATGGTATAGAGAATAGATCAGGTAAATATAAGTCAAACAATTAAAGGAAGAGAAAGACAATACAAAAAATAAGAAAAATTATCAAAAAAGATTTTAAGATTAACGATTTGGATATAGACACAATTTTGAATAGAATATTATGAATAAAAACTAATCTATATAATCGACTTTATTTAATGCGATAAGATTTAATTGTTGTTGTATAATATTAAAGAACAGAAGTACTTCCTAATTATAAATCATACACGTGGCAATATCTAATTAGTAACTAATTAGAATCTTGCTAATCATAAGAATGTGATTTTTGTTATATATTGATATATTTATAAAAGCTTGCGAACAAAACGCTTAAATCAAACAATTCAAAGGCAGATATGCATGTTTTGAACTTCACTTCTATTAGCTATGACTTGGGTTTGAATTTGAAATTGCTATTTTTTTCTTCACATGCATGTGAATGTGACTAAAGAAATACAAATTATTACTTGAACAAAAAAAATTCAAATCCAAAGGCGTAATAGAATAGTCACATTAAGAATATGAATATGGTTGGTTATAAAAGGCTTTTTCAAGAGTTGTTTATTAGAAATGCCCTCACACAACATTGAATTGCGAACCTCCACAGTTTATCAGATTGACGCTTTACACCAAACTATAAGAGCAACTTAAAATTCTTATGGCAGTCTTATAAAAACAGTGGATTAAGTAAGCTGTTTCATTTTCCAAGTAGGCTTGTGGATCATATCTCATTAGTATCCATTGAGCTACATGTAAATCACATGCCAGAATATAGTATTGAAAATTTTGATTTTTCATACAAGAGAATTTCATGTAATAAGATAGTTTTGAATTTTGTCTTTTCTAGGTAGGATATTGATAAACAACAATTTTGATAAGTGTGTCATTTGTTAGTTATTTTAATCACTAAATCGACTTTTGAATAGTCAATTTAATCTTCACATATGTTTTTTTATGAAATAATTTAATCTATTTATTCGGTTAGGCTTAGATGTTAAAGGAGAATAAGCCCAATTTGATGTGAAATTAGTTAGTATTTGTTTTATTTGTTTTTTTGTTTTTGTTAATGTTAATAAATCATGTCCGGTTAATTATAAGATAAGTTATTTTGGTGTCCTATTAACTATGAATCATGAATGTTAGGTTGATTTAGTCTAAGATATTTCTTCATTGTAAGCATATTTAGTTAATGAATTCATCCCACATTTATGTGCGGCAATAGTGGTGTAAGACTGGTTTAAAAGGCCATTTGTTTTTTTTTTCTTTTATACATGGGAGGGGTTAAGCTCCCCAAAAAACTAAACAAAAATCAATATAATAATAGAGGATCTCATTAGTCATTCTCATAAAACTTTTTAACAAACCAAGAATACGACTAAAAAAAAACACAATCGTTAGTTTGAAATCCTTTCTTTGCAAGGACATCCGCACAAAGGTTGACTTTCTAGAACACATGAAACACTTTGATATCTCTGTCAGCTTAAAAAAAAGACCTTATTTTCTTGATGATCTCTTTCCCAAAATATAACTGGTATATCTATTATTAATATCTAGCACCACATGATGCAAATCAATACAAATGTCAATCTTATTAAATCTCATTTCAATAGTTATCTTTAAGCCTTCAAGCACACCTCATAACCCCGTAATATACACTTCACAAATTCCAATTTGCTTAGCATAACCACCAAGTCACTCACCTTCATTTCCTCTTAAAATGCCCTCACAACCAGCTACCCCTCGATTCTCTCTAGCCTCATCTGAGTTGAGTTTGACTATCCCCGCATTAAGAGCCTCCCACTTAACATGTATCCAATCCTTTTGATGCTCGCGATTAACAACCAAACTGTTGCATCTAGCCTGATCGTAATCATTAACTTGTCTGAAAATGCAATTAACCATATTAGAAGGCCGATAATAGTCTTCGTTCAATATTTCTTTATTATGCCAGCTCCATATATTGTAGCACACTGTGACCCACACAGTTTTCCACTTAACATTGGTATTCCAATCCATATTGTTTTTCTTATTAACTACTATCCAATTATCCAAATCACCTGCAAAAAAAATTCAAACACATGTTAATATGCACCTACTCTTGCCATAAAGGTATAGCCAACGCGCAATCCCTAAGCACATGAAGCGCAACCTCCTCTATGTCTCCACAATACTGACACATGGCACTCCCCAACTCCATCCTGCTCTTCTTAACATTGGTAAGAAGCCCATTATGTTTGAGAAGCCACACAAAGGACTTAACCCTCTCCGTATCATAAATCTTCCAAACATCCTTCCGCCCATCTTTCTCTTCCATTCTATTTTCCATATCCAACATAGCATACATACTTCCCACTGTAAAATTTCTAGCATTCTCTTTTATCCCCACACACACATCTAAACCAGCCTCACTAATTTGAGGATCAAAGACTGCAATTATATTCTCATGTAACCAATCACGCAGGCTACTCCAATTCCAATCACCTTTCCCACTAACCAAATCAACAACCTTAACTTTCTGTAGATGACTTGAGATATCTAACTCCATATCAACAATATGAATGTCCAACCATAACCATTTAGATTCCCATACACTCACTGAAGAACCATATCCCACCTTCTACTCCCCGTGTTTCCCCA